GAGAGAGAGAGAGAGAGAGAGAGAGAGAGAGAGAGAGAGAGAGAGAGAGAGAGAAAGAGAGAGTATGACGCGTTTTTAATAAATAAACGTTTATGTCAACTCAAATTTTCGTAATTATTAAACATTTTTCTCTTTTTTTTACGAGGGTTCGCAATTATCAACCCTCGGGGTGGCGGCGTTTTTTGAAACAAGCCTTTTGTAAGTATGTCAGGATAATGTAATCCCTTTACCTTACAGCGAAGAGCGCCAGGCACAAAGCCTAAACCGTCGCGGCCACCGACGCCAGTAAATTTACTGAAATTATTAGATTTTCGTACGTTCAATATATGTTTATATACAATCTCTCTCTCTCTCTCGCGCTCTCTCTCTCTCACAAACACACACACACACACACACACACACACACACACACACACACACACACATACAACACACACCTTACAGATTTTTCAGTTTTGTGATAAATGATAATATCAAATTTTATCATATTATAAATTTCACAAATCATAGTAAAAAAATAATAATAATTAAGATATTATTGTGACATGAAAATTTTATCAGAATACGTATTTACCAAAATATTTAAAATTCTGAAAAATTTTGATCTTCCGACGAAGCCCTCCAACGGGACGAAACACTGTAACAATACTATCACACTGGCACTAAAGTGGCCGTCACCAATTTCAACTGAGCACAGCAATTTTTTCCTTATTTGGTAATACGCTGATTTGTAAGAATGTAGGGTCGCCGACGCGAAACGTCCTGTGGACCGGGAATGACTGACGACGGGAGGCGAAATGCCGACCCCGCTCACGCCCGCCACTCAAGCGTCTACCGAATCTGTCAAGCTGCGCTCTGACGATAACGTTTCTATTAATATGAGCCATTAAGGAAAGAATAAACAATATCATTATTGTATTTTAATAACTGTCTTTTTTTTCTTGAAGTATTACTCTTCAATTTTTTAATTTTTTCCATTCCACTTAAAACCAAACAGAACAAGCTGTCACAAGTATAATCCGTTCTTCTATCTTCCCCCCTCCAAGCCATCATAACTCCTCTCGAAGTTCCCACTTTTCCGAAAAAATCTGTTCACTTAAAACCTCCAAATGTAGAGAAAGGTTGCAATGTTAATGTAACATTTAACCATCTCAATTACGTATTGAAACTCAAACTCCTTAAATACCATTCAACCCAGTTACGGTCATACCTCGAATACCCACACAGGACACCTTTGGCTAGCTACTATAAAAAGGTTACCAAACACTACCAAGTGCCTTTTCCAATTAGATATACGGTACTCCTTTTAGATCACCTTTCCACAGTTTTTACCCCCCTCCATACTATGTCACTTCACAGTCAGATCATATCACTGAATTCCTTGATTCGCCTCTCAACACGACACAGATTTTCTGCCTTCCCGAAAGAAAACCGCCGGGCCACGATCTTATTAACGATAAAATCCACCCAAATCTAGCAAAAAAAAACAATAGTGAACAGTATTTACAACATATTTACACTGCAATATTTCGCACAGCCTATTTCCTTGTACAGTGGAAACTATATTTAATAACCCCAAAACCAAACTGTAATGATCCTTGGCAAAGTTAGGTCTTGAAGAAAATCGAGATTACATATGTCAATCAGCAGAAACATTTACGATTGTCTTGCGCTGATGATGACCTTAAAATAGGACGAAAGTCCTAAAACGCTGAAAGATTTGTTGTACTCAGTTGGAAAGAATTAGTAAAAGATGCGATAAGTTGTCACAGAAGAGGAAAACAAACAGGCAGTTAAAAAAAGGAATAAGTCAGTCTAATCTACATAGCCTCAATCCCACAATTTTTCCCACAAAAATATTTTTTTAACTAGGAACACAAAGGAACTTCGTTTTGCCATTGTCCATGACATGTTTTGCCGTGATGATAACCTTAAAATAGGTCGAAAGCTTGCTAGTTACAACTGACTCAGCAAGTGGAATTACATCGTAGAAGACAATAAAAAAAATTTCAATTTTTTTTTTCTCGATTGTTGGACGAGCCTAATTCCTTTTCCAATCGAATCAGAAGGTCGATTTCTATAGAAAGAGACAATTTTTTTTTCAATTTTTTGGGGGGTTTTCTCCAAAACTACGTGTTTTACGAGCCAAATTCCTGTTGAACTAGTCGGAAAGCTTCATTCGCTAACTCGTAACTCGCGCCTCAACCGATAGGTCAAACTTGAAAAACGGGTAGAAAAACATACTTCTTCGAAGTTTTCTTAGACTTTTCACATTTCCTTAGTTTTAGAATGTATTTCTACACATTGTGACCAATGTTTTACAAGATTTCTTCACGATATCATGTTGACGTAATTGTGACCAATTTTTAAGAAGATTGCTACACCAGATCATCTTGAACTAGTCGAAAGGCTTCATTCGCTAACTCGCAACTCGCGCATCAACCGGTAAGTCAAACTCGAAAAAACTAGTTTGAGTTGATCTCGTGTAGCAATGATGTTAAAACTGGGTCATAATATGTAGAAATATTTTCTAAAACTAAGGAGATGTCAAAAGTCTAAAAAAATCGAAAATGATTGACCTACCGGTTGAGGCGCGAGTTACGAGTTAGCGAATGAAGACTTCCGACTAGTTCAACGTGATCTCGTGTAGCAATTTTGTTAAAAATAGGTCACAATATGTAGAAATACGTTCTAAAACTAAGGAGTTGTAAATCAGAGGCTGAGCATACACTTATGGTTTTTTGATATATAAAAGGGATACATATTCTGAAGAAAACTAAATCTTATATACCACTTAAAGATTATATCGACAGTTTTTCTTAAAGGAAATTGTTTAGCTTATGTAAGCGGACGACGGCGCGGCGGCCGAATAATCTCTCAATATCACTTGTTTTTCTATAAGCGACAAGAGATGAGTCGGCGTAAGCGCGTCGCTACTTATTCTTGTGTAGGGGAAGGTAAGGTTCCAGAATTCAATAAACCAGAGATCGTATTCAGTAACATTTATTGTACACAATTCTTTCTGTTAATCAAAAACCTCAGAATCTTACTTAATCTACAAGTCAGCCACAACTCAAATCTGGGATAAGTCTATTAACAAAGGGACTTACTCCAAACGATGCTCGCCACAATCAGTGTCCACAGCATCTCTTCTTTCGACCTGTGACTTGGCTGATCCTCGCTGGCTCTGGCTGGCTGAGTCGTCTTGTTGAATCCCAGACGGAGTGTGGCTGCTTCTCTCCCGGTCCTTGGTCTTGACTGCCTGGGGTGAGTCTCGGCTGGGTCTTTGACTGTGGTGAGTCTTGTATCTTGACTCAAGCAAGTCTTCCGAGGCGACTCCTGAGAGAGTCCCTGGTCTTGACTGCCTGGGGTGAGTCTTGGTTTTTGACTGACTGGGGTGAGTCTTGTATCTTGACTGACTTTTGATTTTCCGGTCATCCCTTTTATTACCGGGTTTCTCCCGGAGTAGGGGTTGAAAGGAAACTCGGAGGAGTTCTCACGCCGCGGGTGGGCCGGCAAAGACGGTGGTCTGTCGCTATTCCTATTTTATGTTCTCCAGGTTCGTAGGATACAAAACGTGGGTTCAGCCTGGGTCTGCCACACACTTCACTCTTTTCATTGTTTACCCTATTTTGTTCTTATTTTAAAAGTTTAAGCTTATCGCTAAGACGGGGACCGGCTTACACTTACATAGTTGCCTGCGCCATAACTCTAAGGAGGCACGATTTATCTTGACTTAAGCAATCTGACCGAAAAATCAGCAGAAAAGTGGCAAAATTGCCGAAAACATGATGGATTTTGTTAGGTTGTGTTGTCAAATATATAGCTAAGACGCTATAAAATAGATATAGCAAAACAAGTATTTAAAATAAATTTTTATTCCCTTGAAATCTGCAATATAACTGAACTTCAGGAGAGAAGCTGACTGATGACTCTTTTATGCGTCATAACACTGCCGGCCGAGCCACTTGAGCAGACCATTTTGGCATGATTTTTCATATTACTTCGTAAATTTCTTCGCAAATAAATATATGTAATATATGACTCAGAAAATACCTGGTACTCGAAAAAATAATTTCCTTAAAATCCTCGCGCGTGCACTTTTTGGAGGCAGTGCTATAGTTAGTACTATACACAAATCATTTCTTCAAAAGAATTAACAATATATTTTTGAAAAATTCAACGGAATTAAAGAGTGAATTTTGCATAAAAGTATCATTATTCAATCATTACTTGGCCGTGAACCACGCGGGAGGTTGCACGCCTGTAAAACCACGTGCCCACGGTAAAAGTTGTTTTTTTGCTATTAGCGAGTGTCTTTTCGGAGGCAATAGGAAAAGACGATATGAAGATGGAGAGCACTCCTTCCTCCACCGGTAGCACCAATTTGGAGCGCTGTGAAAGAGGCAAGGTTGCTCCCCCTATGGTGCAGGGTAATAAAAGACGAGGGATTCACCCTGGTTGAAAGCAAAACGGGTAAGTGAGGAGGGCGATCCAGGCTTGAGCACAATAAGGATCGCTCCATTTCTCGAAAGGTTGGGTCCACACCCGCGTTTCAACCTGCTTTCGAGGACAGTTTCAAACAAAGACGAAACCCTCAGGTAAGTACTACCCCCGCACAGAATATACTGGGGACCAGCACTAAAAGAAGTAAGTCGGAGTATTCTTCCACTCCACCTTCTCCAAAAGGACCTGCCAAAAAACCAAAGCAAGGAAAGGCAAGAGAAGAACAGGTAATCATTGTTTAAAGTTATTTTCAGGAAAGCCAACAAAGATTTCTTCACAAACGACGAGGCACTAAAGTTGAGATCACTGATCTGCAACAGTGCCCTCGAACTGATTGAGGAAGAAGACTAGGAGCAAGGCGTGGATTTCATAAATTCAGGTTTTGTTAAAGGGGGATCCATGTTCATTGTAAGCTGCGGGGATGAACTCACCGACAAGTTTGTCAGGGACAAGCTAAAGGAGCTGTGGGATGAAAGGAAATACATGGTCGTACATTAATGACCTCCCAAAGAAGGCCAAAGTGTTCACATATGCTGTGGGACTCGAGACAAGGAAAGAGTCAATAAACAAACTGCTGAGAATCTCCAGCAGGAAAGCAGGTTTGAATATAAAGGATTGGTAACTCGTTGCCCACAGCAGGGAACCCCACACAGGTCACGGGACTTACCTCTGTTGGGAAGTACCAGAAGCGGATGCTAAAAAATCCAACATAATCCAATGATGACACTGGAGTCGAACCGCATCAGGGTGAAAGTCTCCATACCCTCTCCACCAGAGAAATGGAGGTTGATAAGGACCTATCTCCACTGATAAAGGACAATGGAATTGACTCCAATCCCACTCACATGGATAGAGGTAAGGGTATTGTAGGGGCAGGCGATCCTGGATGATTGTCGGTGAGCTTTCTAGCGAAGCCGAGGATTCCCTTCTGAATCAGGGTTAAACCGTCCCCTTCTCATTTAAGTGGCTCACCCCGAGTGTACCGTGAAACCTCTCAGGGTCTCACAAATTAATATGCAGCACAGTACGATTGCCACGGCCGAAATCGGTGTGCTGCAAACATTGATTTATTTAATACAGGTACCCTATACCTATAGGGGCCAAGCAATTGTTTTAAAAAGAAAAAAATTTGAACTGTTTCAGGATCTAATGCATGACAGGCTGAGAGCATGCATTGTAGCCCATAAGGAATTAAGGCCAATTCCTATAACTAGGTTTTGTTCTAGGGATATCATAATATCAATTGATTTTAG